GGGGGGGGCTACCTGTGCACAGCGTCTCCCAGCAGGCTTAGAACATGCTCTAACTCACAAGTGGTGCAGTAGCTTCTGTGCAGTGCAGTTGCTGTGTCATGGCATGTCTCCAGGCAGGCTAAGAACGTGCCCCAGTTCATGGCACGAGCAGGGCCACTGAGTTCCGTGGTTGTAGAGGAGCTGTGTGTGTCTGTGTCACATCTCTGGCGAGGCTGGAGACACACCCAGACTTCTGCCACAAGCACAGTGATGGGTTCTGCACGTGGCACGCGCTGCCCTAGTGAGGCTGAGAACGTGCCTCCATGGGTGGGGCTGTGGGTTTTCCAAGCTGGGGGGATGTGAGCAGGCAGCTGTGCGCGTGCATACAGATGAGATGGGTCCCCACCAGCTGTGCCAATGCCTGGGGACACCCCGGTTTCCTCCCCAGGGGACCAGAGTGACCACAAGCTGGCCCTAAGGAACATCGCCAGCATGGTGCGGCCCGGGGGTGTCCTGGTCATCGACCCCCGCAACTATGATCACATCCTGGCCACGGGCTGTGCGCCACCTGGCAAGAACATCTACTACAAGGTGGGTGGCTGGCAGACCCTGCCCCATCCCGCTCCCCTCTGCCCCAACCCCCTGGCCCTGCTGGGGGCCAGGCAGGGCAAGGAGCAGGGCTGTGCCCAGGCCAGGGGCCACCAAGTCCCCACAGGACACAGACATCTTCCTGTGGTCCCTAGAGTGACTTGACCAAGGACATCACTACCTCGGTGCTGCTGGTAAACAACAAGGCGCACATGGTGACCCTGGACTACACGGTGCAGGTCCCCCCCACCGAAGCAGGGGCAGCCCCGGAGATGAGGTGAGAGGGGCCTCGGGGGTGGCTTCTGGCACAGGGGGTGGCTTCTGGCATCATGCCCCGCTGTTCCCACCCCCACCTCACCATCGTGTCCTCCTCGCAGCAAGTTTCGGCTGTCATACTACCCGCACCGGCTGGAGGCCTTCACAGCCCTGCTGAAAGGTGCCTTCCAGGGGAAGTGCCAGCACAGCGTCCTGGGTGACTTCCAGCCCTACACGCCGGGGCAGGCCCACATCCCCTGCTACTTCATCCACGTCGTGAAGAAGACGGCCTGAGGAGGCCTTGGAGATGGGACTGTGGTGGCCGAGAGCTGCTAGCGGCTCTGGGGACAAGCAGAGGGCTGGGGGCATCGCTGAGAGCTGCCTGGGAGCCCCCTCCCCTTCATTAAGAGCAGTTATCAGAGCTCCCAGAGCCCGTGGTCCGTGTGTGTCCGTGTATGGGCAGGGTACGGGGTGAGGGAGACAGCCACAGTCACCTCGGGACTCCTGGGGAAGGAAGTGCCCAGCGTGGGGGGATCATAGGGTGGGTGCAGGCACCGCTCCCCTGCAAGCCCCCGGCTGCAGGTGCCAGTCACAGCTCTGGTGTGGGGTTTGGGGCTCCCCTTGGAGCAGAGGGAAGGCTGGGCTGGCTCCTGGGTGGTTGCATATCCTTGCCAAGCCCACTGCAGCACCACTCACAGGGATGTATTGCAGCTCCTTTTCTTCCTGCGCACACCCACC